TCACTTTGTCTGATGGGAACACGCTGAGTGATAACAGAGCTACAGAAATGACAAGGAAGGATGCCGTCACAATGATGACAGCAGGTCACAGGCTGGCCTTACTGGGAGTCCTAGCCGGCAGCTGCCAACACTGGGTGACTCGACAAAGGAATGGGGACCCACTCAACCATGTCTCATGCCAGGGTTTAAAAAAACAAAATGTGGTCCATCCACACAGTGGAATATCACTCAGCCGTAAAGAGAAACGACATCCCGATACACGCTACAACATGAACAAAGCTTGAAAACAAGTGAAATCAGCCAGAAGCAAAAGGACAAGTATCGTGCAGTCCCAATTATAGTCCCTGGTGGTGCGATCGGCTAAGCTCCAACTACTACCCAAAAGGTTAGTGATTCAAACCCACCCAGAGGCACCTTGGAAAACAGGCCCGGCAGTCTGCTTCCAAAAGATCACAGCCTTGAAAACCCTGTGGAGCAGCTCTACTCTGCACGCATGGGGCTGCATGAGTCAGAATAAACTGGACTGCATCAACCAACAACAGACGCAGAAGAGGCAAATGCACAGACGAAAGTTTATTAAGTTACCACGGTCTGGGGGAGAAGCCATGTGGGTATGGAGTTTCTGTTTGCGGTGATGAGAAATTTTGCAAACAGTGGTGAAGGTTGTACTACACAGGGAATGTAATTAATGTCACTAAATGGTACACTTAAAAATGCTTACAAAGGCAATTTTTATATATACACATTTTTACTCCAGTTTGAAAAATAGTAAAAATTAAAAAAAAAAAAATTTAAAACCTTAACAGCAGCAGCAACTTACCCCTAAATGGATTAGACTCTAGATACCTATTAGAAGTCTCTCCAACTTGAATGCGTTCATGAATGCCTCTTGATCTTGTTGAGTCCAGACTCTGATTGACGGGGTCAGGGCAGGACCTGAGACCCTGTGACTCTACCACCCCTCAGGTGGTGCCCACAGACAGTAATCCATCACCCTCCACTACCCATAAACCCTAGAGTGTCTGGTGGCTTTGCCTGGAGAGACAAAGTGGGAGGAGGAAGACCTTCTAACGCTGGACTCCATCCCAAGAGAAGGGAGCCGCCCACCTCCCGAGGCTGCCAGGCTGCACGGCACCGGACGCCAGGGTCCCTGGTTTGCCTCTTCACCGCGTTTGCCGAAATGAGGTTTCCCTAGACGAGGGCCTGTTCACGGTTCCCCGCTGAGCCCTGTCCTGGTCCTGGCGCCACATATCCCACCCTCCCAGCCCTGTTCACTGTCTCAACATGTCTGCCTCCATTTTGTTCTGTGACCGTCTCCCTGGGCCTCTCCCTCTTCACATCTTCATTCTCTTTCTTTGTGCAGTTCTCACTCACCGTGCAACTCCTCTTATGGACTGAACTGTAACCCTCTAAAGAGACATGTGGAAGTCCTAGCCCCCGGTACCCATGACCTTGTTTGGAAACAGGGTCGTTGAAGATGTTATCAGTTAACAAGAGGTCATACCAGAGTAGGGCGGGCCTAACCCCACCCTACTGGTGTCCTAGAAGAGACTCAGAGAGACAGATGCACGAGAAGGCAGCATGTGAGGTTGCCTGGGGCTGACAGACAGAAAGAGAGAGTCTTCCCCTAGAGCCTTCAGAGGGAGCAGGGCCCCGCTGATGCCCTAAAATCCAGACCTTCAGCCTCCAGAGCTGGGAGAGGACGCATTTCCGTTGTTGAAAGCCCCCTAGTTCGTGTTAGTTTGTTCCAGTGACAGAGACACCAATGTGTCGGCCAGCTCCTCACTTTATATCCCAAATGGCAAAAGGCAAAAGGTTTAACAGGCTGAGGAGGAAGCTATGAACTGTCTCTGACAGGGAGCCCGTGAGTGTGAGTCCTCTGAACACCGCCTGACCATGCAGTATGTGTTTTCAGCAGGAACACAGCAGTATCTAAACAGTCTTTTGTTCTCCGGAAAGGTTATCCCACAGTAATTTTCACCTGGAGTTGATTCCCTGCCATTTTAGACATTTTGAAATCTGAGACCTAACTAATGAAGATCTTGCTAAAGCATGTGGTGCGTTCCCTGGTTTCTTCTAGTCAGATCTGTGTGGCTGGCCTCGCCTCGGGACTTCCTGTTCTCTACCTCCACAGCCATGCTATGCAATGAACACCACACCCAGCCCGCACTGGGAAGACTGGGCCTGCAGTAAATGCCCCAGGGAGGTGTGCTGCGGCTCCAACTCTGCACAGAGACTAAGCCTTCCTGGGAGGGCTGGGTCTGCAGTAAATGCCCCAGTGAACTGTGCTAAGGCTTCACCTCTGCACAGAGACTAAG